TCAATGTTAAAGGGTTCGAAGGGCTAGAGAAGAGAGGGCACTGTGTGAGATTACGTATGAAGCGAGAGCTTATTAAGTGTGTTTTTTTCAATATTAAAAGATAAACAAAATAACAAACAAACCCTTTGGTTTTAACCGTAGTTAAATATTCCCACGCACACCTATAGAACGGTACAAAAAAAAAAGAATAGAAATTCTCAATCCCTTAGAATAAAATTATCGTTTAGACAAATCTAAATTATCTCCCACCTCGTAATATTTACTCAAACGGTAAAACGAGAAAAACCAGCATGCCAGCATTGCCGTCTGTGGTTTATTATAAAATTCAAAACACGCAAATGTAAAATGAAAAAAAAAAAATTGCAGAATGAGAAAGGAATGCGAAATTAACCGTGAGGTCTAAAGGTAAATTGTATATAAAAATTATATAGGTAGTTTTTAGTCTAGTATCCGTTTGTTGAATTTCAGCACACGTGTGACTGCCGTGACTGCGCTTATTTCGTTTACTGTGTATGGACGCATGTTTTTTTTATAACTAAAAGCCAAGATTAGACATTAAGAAGTGGAATGTTTATCTATACGTTAAGCTTAAAACTTTTTTTATTACTTTATTTTTTAACTTTACTCATTATTATTTTTTCATAAGTTCTATAAAATATATTAAATTAATTTTGAATTATATCGGAAAATTTCTATTCAATTGTTTAAAATATACACACTATTCGAATAAGAGGTTTAGGAAAAAGGTTTTTACCAAAAAAAAAAAAAAATGTTAAAAAAGTGATACTGTACACAAGTAGATAACTAATAATGGCGCAGAGTTCAGAGTACATAGACAGCGATATACAGCGTAGTTTAATTTTTATACCGTATGCAACGGTAAATTATTGCAAATGAAAACAGCGGTTCTGAGCAAAGTATATGGATCTTACTATTTACAATGGTAATCAACAATAAAAAAGGACATAGAAGCATTTTTTTTAAAAATTAATAAAGTCTTTGTTACACTCAGAATATAAAATTACCAACTCTAGATTCGATATTTTTGTTATTATATTATAATATTAACAATGTTATGTATAAAAAAAAAAAAATCAATGGTTTCATTTAGTTAATTTTTAAAACTAACTTCAAACGTGACTAACATCTTGCTAATTTTTTTTTGTTCAATAACCGACTTATTTTAGCTCATGTTATTCGTTTACTCGTCCAGTCGAGAAAAAAAAATGTCATCATATTAATTTTTTCATAACTATATTCACGTATTTAAATATTGTTGTTTGTATTATTTATAATTTTAGTAATATATTCATTACCGGTCGGCCGGCCGGCCGAGTCGGAACATCGCTCGCAAACACAATCGTTTTCGGTTTAGAGCGACGCGGTGGTGGCAGACCCCGACGACTTCCGCAAATCCGGTGAATAATAATTTTGTTTGTTCGCGCATTTACATATTATTATTATTATTATTATTTGTCACCGTGTCCACTATATATACAGTCGCCGTTACGTTTCAATAGGTCCTTTATTATTATTATTATTATTATATATAAACTGTGGATTAACCTTCTACCCACACTCCCACCCACCCCTTTATAACCCGCTATACACTTCCGGACTTCGCCCGCCGCCTCCCGATTTGACGACCGTCTTTATACGTACATACCCGTGGCCACGGTAATTTGGTACGTTCGTTGTATCGAATTAACCGCCTTTATCCAAATAAGAAACGGCGTGTTTAATTGGCAAACAATCGGCGACGGCGCCATCGTCAGAAAATCTGCCGAAAACCCCCCGACGGAAACTGCCAGACTTTTCACGATTATTATCGCATTTTCTATCACCGTACAATGTCGTAAACCCGGCCAAGTCTCTGTAAGTCAATTAATTCTAGAAAATAAGTCCGGGGAAGGAGGCGGTTGTAAACCTAAAATCTGTGGCGTTCTAATTTTGTTATAATATTGTGTACGGGTAATGTAAGACTAATATAACACCAACAAATGGAAGGTAGGTGTAATTAACCCTCTAATCTCTTATTATGCATAATATTTTTAGTATTATTATTTGAGTTTATTCGCCCTCTAGGATCATCTCTATTTTTCAACCATTCCTCCAGCTATCTATCGCCAACGTTTTTCAATTCAGTTCAATAATCCGCAATATTATTCCATCAAATAACTGAACGTTCCTTTTCGTATATTTTTCTTCAGAGGCAATTTCGTGGACCTGTACGATATTACCCCGGTTGTTATAATATAAAAGTTTTTTTTTTTTTTTGTTACATAATAAAAAAAAAAGATCCCAACACACAATACTGAACAATTTACGTTCGATTGTATACTTTACAAAATAAGTTCTTACACTCACTTATGGTACAATTTAGTAGTTTATTATGAAATATAATAAAATAATTCGCAAAAAAAAAAAATTCCCCAAAGAAATACGCGATATTACTAGTATATAGTTTTACATCAGAAAACGACTACATGACGTACAGTTTTCAATCCTATAAAGAGACTGAATGTTTGAATTATTATTTTTCCATAAATCATGATAATATTATGTTTAGGTATTTATTAGATAGATACGACAGTTATTCAACGGAGTTTATAATTAATATTGAGTAAATTGTTGAATGCATAATAATTTTTTCTACGAAATTGTTAAGAATTTGATTTTTTTATTTTTACCTTAAATGCATGGCAATATTATAATATTTCCACTGCTCGAATTAATAAGTTCGAAGTAATAACCCGTTCTTATGGTGGCCTCTCTTATAAGAAATATTGGAATTCTGTAAAGTGTATGTGTGTACAACTAGTTTTTTTCCAATATAAGTGTTAAAGTATTATAAAAATGAAATTATGTTCTAGTCACAATCAATCTCATCTTTAAGAAAATAAAACAAATTATAATGGAAATTTATAGATTCACATACATTCATTATTTTATTCAGGATCATAATTATTCATAAGTTTGCTTTGCATAAAGATAGCTAATGCGTTAAAACCGTTAAAATCAACTTGACTAAAAAAATAACAGAGAATTAAGGTGAAACATAACTATTATCTTAGGTACCTACAGTGCATTGAATTAACGTATTTTACTTGATATACTTAGTCATAAAAAAATATTATACAAATTAACGGTGCTAAAAAAATTAGTTTTTTTGTTTTTAAACTATTAGGTTTTGTGCGAAGTAAAATTTAAACATCTCTCGTGCGAAATTTTAACTAATATTTTTTTTATAAAAATAATAATAAGAAAACACATTAATTCATATTTTAGTGACTATAAAAAGTCCGAAATTTCTTGTAAATAACATTTTAATCGTGATAACTTTTGTAAATATAACTTAAATTATCTCTCGTTGTTTTTATGTTTAAAATTTATCAGTTCTGCTGAGAAGATGTTTTAATGATCGAAAATGAGATTTAAAATATCGATATTAAGATTCTGAATAAAGGGAAACAAGCCAGATGAGCGGGTTGTGTATAGAGAAAACTATAAAATCTAATGGTTAAAGAATTAATTTTTTTTAATTATAGAAAAAAACACTGCAAACAAATTAAAATGACTAGAAAAAACTATACATTTGAAAATCTGAGGAAGATTTCTGGTAATAAAGTTGTATACAGATAAAAGAAAAAAAACATAATGTGAAACCAACTCATTCCTATGCTCAAAATCTAAAATAATATTTTCTTCTTCTTCATCTTTTAATTACTATATAAGAATTTTCGATGCCATCACTAATTCGTTCCGTATTTCTTGATCTCGAACTAACTCCATTCGTGTATCCCCATGCAAACAAAGTCTTCTTCCAAAATCCATCTAACCACCCTTTTCTAAGCCACCCTCGAGATCTCTTCCGGTTGGGTTCTAACTTAGAATTGCACTGCTTATATCACCCTCATCTTTGAAAAACATTTTCAAAAAAAAAAAATAAAAAATTGTCGTATTTGGATTTTGGATTTTATACACGATATTCTCGAATTGATATTAATCGCCTATCGGTCAACATAGTTTACCAGCTACTCGTTTAGATAATTGATACACACCGGTTTTCGAATCTTCGGCCAGAGTGATGTAGTACTATAGTACTGCTAAATTATGTACTCCGCGGGCGGTTTCGTGTTTCCTAGATAGGATCCGCTAGCGGAAACGCCGTCGGAACATGGTGTATATATTCACTTCCGGTGTGATTTCGCAGATACGACAATAATATATTATTATTATATTATATATGTGACCCGGTGTTATAAACACATCGTTCGTTGGCACTGTCAGAAACGCCGTGTCCGTATGGGTTTGTTATTAATGGTGCCTGCATTTAAATGCTGCTAAAAACGATTGAAAAACGCTTTGAAAAAAAAATAATAAATACCGTTTGACCAAAATAATCTCTATTTTAAAATGGCGTTTAAATAAAAATACAATTAACAATTTTAAATTCAAGCGAATTCATTTTTAAAGTATAAGCGTAACAAAAATATTAGATATTAGATTATGAACAAGTAATTTATCATAATAATAATATATCGAATTACATTATATATATATTGATTTCAACGCTTAAACGTACTAAAAAAAAGATGTGTGAAAAAAATTTTAAACTTTTAAAGAATCTGTGACGTGAATCGAATTATGCATTAGTTTGAAATTCATAAACTCAGAGCGGCCAAAAAACAGGCCAGTCATTAAGTAAGAATGCAACCGCATTTTTTGAGGTACATGCTATGATATTTGATATTGGAAGACAATTTTTCCACCTTGGATCATTTGCCTTAACTAACAAATATGTTTGTAAGCGTCTTAAGATAAAATGTTCACAATAATCGTAAAAATCAAGGTATTTCAAAAGATGTACAACCGAATTTCACTCAGAATCGTTTTTCGGTATTAATCTTTAATCGTTGTGTACATATATAAAGTGAATAACTGTATAAATCCTACTGCTCCAACCGCCCCGTTTTAACTTTGTCTACAACTTTTCGTCTTGTTTATATTTGACAATCATATGTGTTGTATTTTTAAATGTTAAGCAAACATGAGGGAATAAACTATAGCGTCTGCCTTGCGGATACCACTGTACACCGTTCATAGATCATGAACATTATTGCTGGGCACGTGATACCAACAACAACCTACCCTTCTGCTATTGTTCCTATGTCGGTTAACGAATAGTATTTCGTGTCACGTGTATTGTCGTCACACGTCTTCGATATCCGGTGCGGATATAAAACTCGTCGACGTCAACAATGTTTAAATCCGCCAACTCGTCGTTTTTTTAAAAATGTTTTGCTCGTAAATACTGCACAAATAAAAACAGGTATAATTTTTACAATGGGAAAATGTGATCAATCCGAGAGGACGCAGGACACTATGAAAGTAGGTATATTGCTGACAGATGGATGTAATTGCAAAAAATATTAATCCTGATGTCATAGTAAAAACAATAATACGGAACAATTCAACCATGGCCACTTTTCTTTTTAATTTAATTTTTATCACGTTTAATTATATTTTGATTTTAAAAGTACCTAGGACATTACAAATGGCGTTACTTTTTGTTGTACGTAGGTATAATACGAAAATTGATTATATTATTATCGTTTTTATCAAACCTGTATATCAAATAGAACTTTTATAATAACAATCACCAGAAAATAAAAAATCAACATGTATATTAAATATAAATACAATTGATGATTTATCAACATAACTTATTCATTTTATTTTAAAATATTTCCCCTGAATTTATTATTAGAAAAATATATGTATATAGTATATAAAGTTTTTTTTCAAATTTTAAACGTCATAAAGAACGTGTAACATTATAGAATTCACAATTGTGTTAGTTGGAAAAAAAAGTAGTTAAATTATCATCGAGTGACGGTTATTTTTAATTTACGGTGCATTAATTACAAAATGTATTGTGTGCAATCAATTTAAAACAATTTTTTTTTTAAAAAAAAAACCGTATAAACTACAAACTACTGTTGCAAGATATTTTACGGGTTATTAAAAAAAAAAAACAAAAATATCATTCAAACATAATGATAATACTAAAATCTGCGGTACTAAATAAATAATTATCCAGCTTCTCTACGAATATGTGTTATTTTATCCTTTACCCTAGCTGCTAACATAATACATATTACATAGTATTATCGATCTATTTAGAAGAAAATTAAAATAATATAGAGTGATAGTTATAATAAATGTGTAATATAACAAAATACCGAGCACCCCGCGGAAAAGTACGATTACATTAAATTAGATGAGCAATGACGATTACATATTATTAGTTATTACTCATCATGCGACTTTTTGAAATAATACGATTTATCAAAATAGTTTAATTCTATTAAATAATACATTTTAAACATATCTGGTGTAAAGAAATAGCGAGTAAAAAATAACTTTATGTGTTTTGAATCTTTTTTTAAAAAACCTATTTGATAAATTATAATAAATAAGTTCGACCAAATGTACAACTTGTTAATGCATAACAGTTTTATACAATCGATGTACGAAACATATCTATTTACATGATAATATGTTTTAATTCAATAAACAAGCTATGTAAGGTAGATTTTACAATAATATTACCTAATTAAAACCGATATTGTTCTTATATTATTACAAGTCACTAGAAATTGGAAAGGTTAAATATTTATAGAATTTTGTGTATAATCCAGGGCCCGAATGAAATCACAGGGTTACAGTATAACATATTTGTACAATCTATTTATTCAGCAATTTTTAATAATCAAATTTCGATGTATCTATGTTCGAAATAATGAACGCGTACCCATATTTTAATACATTATATAATAACAACATTTATATTAAAACATCATGCAATTCGGTTTTTGCAGATTTACAGAATGATAAAGAAACATTTTAAAAAGCAACACATATCTCAATATTTTAGTTTTATGTATTGCCATTGATCTCAACTCTTTTGTCGTGTCTTACTGACAGGGACTGCTGGGATATAATGATTTTATATAAGTAGTATTATCAGTTTTATAATTTACAATGTAAACACGAGTCTAATAAAAAAAATACATAAATAGAACAAATCATTTGTTAAAACTTTTGTACAATGCACATAGATAACAATTTAATTTGAAAAATTGTTGAGATATGTGTAATATAGTATAAACAACGATACTTTACTCTTTGCATTTTTACTCCATTTTAAACTTAAAATTTAACGTAAACTGTATATCTTGCAAAGGCAAGTGTACTCACTACTTGTATCGGTTTTCGATTGAGGTCCCGGCGAAGGCACCCAGTTGAGTTTCATTTCCTATAACAAACAAAATTAATGGTTAGGCATTGCGGTAACGTGCAATTATAATTTAATAAAATAGGTATATTGAATTCGCATTCATGCAAATGCAACGCATTATTTTATATTTATTTTTTTTATATTATATTGAAACAATCCCATTGTCATACAATTGTCAATGCCTCCAGAGGCTTCATAAAAACAAAATTTCTATTTTCATAATGTAATGTAAACATGATGTAAATATTTAAAATATTTATTTTTAGAATTACATTTTGCTATGTTCTTAAAATTTTAATTTTTCAATATGGTACCATATACACGAAAGTAAGTTTTATGACATAATATTATGTCTTTTAAGGGAAACGTACAATCTCAGACGTATTCTTAATAAGTAGAAAGTAGAAAGAATAAGTAGAAAATATAATAGGTGCTACCGACAGGTTTCACGGTTTTCTTATAATGTATACATGAACACAAAAATATAATAGTGTGTGTACCAAGCAATACTACTTGACCTGTCGTAATTAAAAGCGTAAGTTACAAATAGCAGGGGTTTATTATTTAACAAGGATAAATAATTTAAATTTGCATATCAAACAACAATCCTACAGGGAAACTGAATGGAAAAAGGACCCGAAAGATGTGTGAACGGAATAGTGTCAGATCTTGCTAAAATTTTACAAAGCACAAGGTTAAAAGACAGTTAGGATAGAGTTGAATGGAGGTAAGATATTGAGACAGCACAGGTTCTGCGTGGACTGTGAAAGCTGGGAAATAAGGATTAAGATTTAAATTTATTAAAACATGTTAATAAATTATTTACTTTTAGAATTCGAATATTAATTTTAATACCGAAAACTGCTATTATTATAATATTCGCCGTTATCATTATTTTTTTACTATCGATACATTATTCACGATTTTGTGTTTTAGAAATTATAAAAATTAGGCGTTAGTTCAATTCGAAAGATTTAAATATTCACATTTTCAACAAGTTTTGTTAGTCGAATCACAAACTACAATTTAAATTGCCAAGACAACAATAACACTGGATAATAAGATTTTTTTTTCACAAATCGAGTACCTACTTACGATGAATAAAAATAAAATGAAAAAAAAAATCGACAAAAATGGGTTACACTTTTCGTATTATAGTCGTAGATAAATATACGGGTTCACTATATTGGATCAAAAATGAATTTGGAGAATAATAATATTATAAAGGTCGACAAATAAATATGCATGTTTATCCGTCGAAAAACTTAAAACTATATTATCTTGTTTTTTTTTTTTTTTAATACCCAATTCCTAAACCGTATTATGATTATTGTGCGTAAGCTATAGTGAATACGAAAGCAGTTGATTTCGAAAAATATCGGGTCATTTTTACTGTATTACGGGGTTTTTATTGTACCTAATAAATTGCATAATGCGCGGTATAATACGGTTACCTCGAATTTTTTTTTTCTTCTATGAAAATCCAACGCTCGCAATAATGCGTAAAATATTATATACGATTTATCTGCGGCGAAATAATAATATTGTCTTATATTATTATTATATTGTACAGACTACCCACCGGTGTGTGCGCAGATAAACGTAGACTGATGCGATTGGTTTCCAGCGGTACCGTTTCACGTGATGGGAAACATTTTACATAACTCTATATTATAATATATGGTAATTTGTTCAACTGCAATAATAATAATATGTATATTATAATACGGTTTCTGAAATGCATATCGCGAACGCGATACCGTTTCATTATATTAACGGCGCGCACGTAGCGAAATTGTCGATACCGAGCGCCGTGATACGCGCAAAAGGGCGGAATGGACTGCTTTGGCCGGCTACCGACTTTGACAGAGGAATGCGCTGTTATCGTGTCTCGGAAACATATTTATTTACAATAATTTAAACGTATATTTTACTCAACAAGAACATTGCTATCGGCGGAATGTGAAATTTATCGTTCTAATAAAATTCCGTTTTAGGAATACGTGTGCATAAGTATTCATTAAAATAATATTTCGATAACTGTGAAAGCTGAAGGGTTTTCCTCTCCACTTCTAGGCGAGACTCGTATTTTGGTTATTGGAGATGAGGAACTTTCATTCGGTTCTCATAAATACCGTTGTTATTTTATGAGCGGTGGATTTTTCTATGAAACAATTTTATGAACATTTTTTTATTTTTTCCAATTAATAATACGTACTTTATTTCCACCGTAATTGATATTTAATCACATATTTTAAATAATTCTACGGTAAACAGTTTTTTCATATCAACAAAAATTGCCAATATTTTATATAGTTTTATATATATATTTTTTTTTTTGTTGGTAATTTATGGTATTTTTTGGTCATCATCACGCATCACAATCCACGAACTAGTAGTTTTTGTAGGAATAAACTTTTCGTTTTGTTCAGTCCACAGGCGTAGGATGTGGGAGATGGGGTCTAAAGGAGCTAAACTGATCTTGTTCCGTATATTTTACCAATAAAAAAACAGTATCGATTGAATTTCGATCCCGTAAATTTAATTTTTCAAGGCTAGTGTACCGAAACTCAAAAGTAAATGTGATAGGACAGTTTTGATTTTACCAATGGATCAAGCATCAAAACTACACGTTTGTAAAGATATTTTTTTTTTTTTGAAAATAACCAATGCAAAGCGCTTTGTAAAACCAAAGAACCCATAATTTCCAAATATTTGATTATTTTTGTTTTTTTCATTTTTGTTGAAAACGCAAGAACACACATTTTGAATACCAAATATAAAAAAAAAAACCGATGGTCGCTAAACCAACATTATGCCGATGTTTTAGTTTCATGACACCGTCGTATTAAAATAGTTCATATTATATACATTCCCATACAAACATTATAATATTCATTTTTTTTTTTCATGTTTTAAGTCAAATGGTCAATTATTTACACGGTTTAATAATGCATTCTGTTTTATTAAATGTAGTTCGTCATTAAATTGAAATGTCTTTTTAAAACTAAAGAAATAATAGACAAACAAACTTTCAAAATAATAATATTCCGCAATTGTTAATAATTAATACTT